TTTGGTGATCACCACAACCTCCTCCTCAGTGTCGGCCACTCCACCACCAAAATAGCTGTCATTCAACAGTTGGGCGACAAGTCTGTGGTACGCAAGAGGACGGCGAAGAAGTCAATGGCCATACCGTCGAGCGATGACGAGGGCGGGGATACCGGCGCTCGCGTGAGCCGGGCGTTGGGCACCACTCTTATCACCGGACTATCACAAGACAACCTCCTCTTCATCGCCTATGGCGTGACCCAAGTGTTGGGTATAGTTATGATCACATTGTGTGCCGTTTGGACGCATAACTACTTGGATGGCTATTCCGTGGCCACACCCCAACAGGTCTTCAATTATCACCCGTTGCTGATGACTATTGGGATGCTCTTCCTCAACGCCAATGGTATGCATACGTCTTGGGATCTGTTGGGTTGTCATCGCTGTGATCACTCTTTTGGGCACTTTTTGTGATGCTTTTACTGTCGAGGAATGTCTTGTATTTGATTCACACCACTTTCTCATACTCTCTTGAAATCTCTCTCTCTCCCTCTCTCTCTCTCTCTCTCTCTCTCTCTCTTCACTCAAAACCTGTTACACTAATCGGGAAATTATTGACAATTAAAGCAAAAATATCCTCAAAAATCTCAAACACTTTCCTTAAAACAAATGAAACTCTTGATAATGTGACACTAAATGACTAATAAATTAATGATAACTAAAACTCAAACCCAAAGGAATACTAATCTATCGGATCAGTCGATGGCTACGGTTTCAGCGCCAGAAGTGGATCCACTTTACAGTGCAGACGACGGCACTTGTGGTCACTTTAATGGGCTCTTACGCCGTCTTCCACTACCATAACGCCAAAGACATCCCAAACCTCTATTCCCTGCACTCATGGCTCGGACTCACAGCTGTCTCTGGCTTTGCGCTCAGCCTATTGGCCGCCTTTTTCTCGTTTCTCTACCCGGGCATCGATCCCGTCTACCGGCGCCTTATACTACCTTTTCATATATTTGGCGGAACCGCTAATATTGTGCTGACGGGGGCGGTAGCTATCACTGGCCTCAC